CTAGGTGTTTTTATTGAATACCTATTGAAAATTAGAGAACTACGTCTTGCTTCCGCTTCGCTGTGGCCCCTCGCTTCCTTCATTTACTCCCCTGCCGAATGTCCTAAAATATTCAATGAAGAATTTTCCAAGTATTTCCATTGAATTTTTGTTGAGTATTAGTGGGCTACGCCCCGGGCTCGCTTCGCTCACCTACTTCGGAGGGAGGGGGGCTTGGTCCCTCGCTCGCTTCGCTCTCTCCCCTCTCCTCCGTCAAAAGCCATAGAATTTCCCAAAAGTATTAAAAAATCGAATCCTATTGCGAAGCTGCGGAAAATTTTCAATAGAATCGGCCAAAAACTGATAGAAAATTCAACGCGAATCCAATAGAATTTTCTTACGAATTCGCTGTCAATTCTTCTGTAAAATTGCTTTGGAAGTGTTTTATTATACTTTCACGTTTTTAAAATATATATTGGAATGAATATAAATGAATGTTTAATTTTTAAAAATCAATAAATCAATCAATAAATAAACAAAAAGTGCAAAATTGTGGAAGGTATTTTGGAATATTCTGAATTATATAGCGCTAATACTTCTTAACGAATATCATCAAACCTATGGTATCTTATGTTTCTGAAAATTTCGCCAATCCTCCAGACTCTGTCAAAGTCCTCACCAAAAAAACACATTCCAAAGTCAAATTCAGTTTCATTGATATCTCTCCATTTCCCTCTCGCGATTCCGATCTCCGATACAATCTCCTCATCAGCTTCCCAATCTACTCCATTTCAATTTCATGACTCGCCTGAAATGTCTTTCAACGAGCCAGATAAGAGATAACCGGAAGTTGTATAGCAGTGCGAAGTGAACACGACTAGGAAACGAAAAATGCCTTTTCCATTCGTTTCCGCTGCATGCCACTTCCTCGTCGCAATTAACCAGTGAATTCGAACGGTTTCGCGGTTATCAAACCACCGTGACCGGTCTATCGGTCTGGAGTAGAGAAATTTATGATCTCCACGAACCACTCGAGACCGTAAATACTCAATGCCACGCGGAGAAAAAAGCTGAGTATTAATTACTAGAAAAGTCAAGTCATCGTGAAGCGAAAAAAAAAGACTTTTCACACTAGATTGGAAATTCAAATAAATTGACTGAGGAACTAGAGGAGGATTAACTAGAGGATTATTAATTTAATTTAATTAATTTAATTTAATTATTTTTGGGAGGAACAAGTGTGTCAAATTTTATAGGTTTAAAATATTTCTGCAAAATTTGACACAATCGTTCCTAGGCAACGAAGCTGTCGGAAAATATCCGATAATTTTGAAGCACTAGCGGTATTACTACTGAGAATTTTTCCCATCCAAATTTCAGCCAATAGAATTGCACTATTATATATTTTTATTTTACACAGTCGGCACGGTATTCTGATACTTGTTCATGATTTCACTGGTAATTGTCCAAAATTAATGGGGTGTTTTCCTTAGCTTCTAAATTAATAAGGTATTTTCCTGGAGGTTCCCTCCATATAAACAAACCTATCGGAAAATACCTGATAATTTAGAAACACTCGTGGTATTGCATACGATAATTTCTCCCCACTTCTTCCCCGTAATTAATAGTACAGTAGAGTGCAAGGGCACAAATTTGTGAGTAAAGTGTACAGGCCGAGCCGAAGGCGAGGTCTGTCCTCACATTCGTTGCAAATGAAGTGTATGCCCGAGTGATCTATAATATTTTACGAGACCCAACACGCGCTAGAGCGCACTGTAATTGTAACAGTCATAATTGAAAATCTCAAAATTAAATTAATCATGAATTAAATTTGCCGCCTCAGACGACTGGAACCAATGAGGAATAAGCGTGACAGACTTGCGAGATATCGATAGTTATTGACTTTAAGTGTATGTTCTTTTTAGAATAGGAAGATATCGATAGTTATCGACTCTAAGTGTATGTTCTTTTTAGAATAGGATGTCACACCGTTCAGAACGCCGCGCTTCGCGCTTCAAACTCGACTTATTGCACGACGTGACACACTGTTAGAAAAAAAATGAAATTTCATGGACAGCCGATTGTTAATTTTCAGGCCAGTGATACTGAATGCGATTTAGGGGAAGAGAAATCCTGAAATTCCAAGTTTCACTGAAAATTCAGAAAAATTTCAGAATTCTAAGCAGTCTAAAGACGAGAATTCCTCAATTTATTTGACTAGCCAATCTAATATGACTATTCAGTGCCAAATGACATTGAATTTTTAGTGAAATCTGAAATTTCATGATTTTTAAACCCTGAATCGCATTCAGCGTCACAGTCCTGAAAATTCAAGAATATATTTACCGAAATTTTCTGGTTTTCTATTTATTCCCAGGGAAAAATAGAACTGAAATTTACAGTTGTCTGGTTTTTCCACGAAATTCTGAATTTTCAATGATGAAATTCCTTGAAATTTCAGTAGTAATTAAATTTCATGAAAATTTCCAAAAAACGTACCGAAAAATTGAGACAAAAATTTTTAACAGTGCATAAAGAAAATCTTTTCGTCACCTCAAACCATCTGCATGATTTCCAACGTACAAGTACACTGTTAGAAAACAAAATTTCATGGACATTTGACTACTACTTTTCAGGCCAGTGACACTGAATGCGATTTAGGGGAGAAGAAATCATGAAATTTCACGGTTCACTCAAAATTCAGTAAAATTCCAGAACTTTAAGCAGCCTAAAGACAAGAATTCCTTAATTTATTTGAATTTCCAATCTAGTGTGAATATTCCATGCAAAATTACATTGAATTTTCAGTGAAATTTGAAATTTCATGAGTTCTTTCGCCCTAAATCGCATTCAGTATCACTGCCCTGAAAAACGGAATTATTATTAAATTAATTATTAACAAGAATATATTTACCGGAATTTTCTGGTTTTCTATTCATTTTCAGGGAAAAATGGAACTGAAATTCACAGTTCTCTTTGATTTTTCCGCGGGGCTAAATCATGACGCCTCTCTGGCATGAAATCATTCCGAAGTCACTCCGAAATCGCGTGAAATCACGGAAACCACTGAACTCAAGTGATTTCAGCTCTCCGAAATCATTTTCGAAATCATCTCCAAAATCACGTGAAATCGCCTGAAATCAACGAAATCACCGAAATCAGTGGCGCACTGACGTAGTGCAAACCGTCCAAATATTTCATGATTTTCAAATTGACACGTCTGCCAGCGATCACAATAAAATGCCGTACTCACTGCCATTGTAAAATGGTAAAATGGACCGCTCTTCATCGTCATTAGCTCAAGATTGGCGGAGCGGAATCAAACGAATTCGTTATTATTTGCCAGTTATTACTGCCAGTTTTGTTTTTCATAATTTAACACAACCCGTTTAGCCCCACCTCTATTATTTATCAACTTTATTTGTCTGAAATCGCTGATTTCGAATTAATGAAATCATTCGAAATCATGAGATCACCTCCCGCGACGCTCGAAATCGCCGAAATCACTTTATCCGAAATCACTGAAATCACCCGAAATCGACTTCATTTCGAAATCATGGTGTCACTCAATTTATAGAGTGAGAGCCCCTCGGATTTTTCCCCGAAATTCTGCATTTCCAATGACGAAGTTCCTCAAAATTTCAGCGGTAATTAAATTTGATAAAAATTTCCATACGGGAGAAATGTTCAGTAAAAATTACGGAACTCAGAATTCACTCACCGATTGCGGAATCGACGCAGAAAATTCAAGTGACGGTATTCGTAATTTTTCACAGGAGATTCAGATAAAACTTACGGAACGCTACGGAAAAATTCCGTGACAGTTCCGTAAAATTTCCTACAACCACATTTCACTCCGTAATTACGGAAAAGATACGTAATTTTTATTGAACATTTCTCTCCGTGCAAACGTTTACCAGCGCATAAAGGAAATCACTTCATCACCTCAAACCACCTGCATGATATCAAACGTCCAACATCACGGGCGAAAAAATTTAATAAAAAAACCTATCGAGTTCGTTAGAAAATTCAGTTGAATTTCTATTGAAGAGTTCTATTAGTTTTTGGCCGATTCAATTGAAATGTTAGAATTCAATTTTTTGAATTCAATAGAATTCAATTTTTTGAATTCAATAGAATTCAATTTTTCGATATACCCACATGGAAAAAATATATATACAGAAATATATGTCACTTATATCCGCTTATATGTGGTATACTTTCCGGCAAAAAATTCAATATTTGAGATATATGTGTTGATATATATGCCACCGGGTATACCTAGCATATACCTGGTATACAAGGTGGATATATTCAAGATATAATTCCGGCAAAATCACTATATCTCACTTATAAGTTTTGACTTATATTTTTTTCTATGCGGTAACTTATTCTATTGAGATATTGTCAATAGAATTTCCTCGGCTCAAATTTTCCAAGTTTTTTCGTTTGATTTTCTTGATGAGAAGAAAAGGAAAATAGAATGAAAAAAACTTGGAAAATTCGAGTCGAGCAAATTCAATAGAAAATATATGAAAAGAGTAAGTTATATAGAAAAATCGAATTCTGTTGACTTTTTCTATTGAATGTTTTCTATTGAACAAGTCAATAGACTCCGCCAAAAACTAACAGAAAGATCAATAGAAATTCAATAGAATTTTCCAACGAATTCGATAGGTTTTTCAATTAAATTTTTTCGTGCGTGATACCCCGGAGTAAAATAAAATCCCCCGAAATGTCGAGCGAAACCGGCTGAATACAGAATGACGACTGAAAAATCCACACAATCCAAGCAATCGCCCGAAGAATAACATAAACAAGAGTCAAAATCCACAGCGCAAACCTCCGTGACCGGTAAATATGACAGTAACTCATACCCAATGGCTCGGCGATGCGTCTCGCACAAGTAACAATACGATGTTCACGAGCGAGTGTAATCACTCGATTACGGGCAACGTGTCTGGTCACGGGTCACCCAAGGAAGATGAGGATAGAGGAGCCATCAATAACCACATATATACCTTTTCGATACGCTCCCACTGGATTGAGTCCAGCCCCGATGACAGTAATATCACCCGCGATAAATATAGACAAACAGAATTAATTTATTTCACTCTTCATTATCACTCATTACCATTGATTACGAATTATTACACACATGAGTGGAATGCAAAATTTTCTTCCCCGCTGACTTGGAAATATTAATTGACAAATTATTAAAACAAGACGATATATAAATTAAATGAGCACGAGGCACGCCGTTGGCGGGCACGTGGGGGATTTTAAATAACTATCCAAATCAACTTTTGTGCACACCAACTGCCCCATCGGGCAGACGCGACCGTACTGAGTCTCGAAATGTATCGTCAGGACACGTTATATTTTCGAAAAATCGTCGACTCCAGCGGGAGGGGGATGTGGGAGGAATGAGAGAATGAGGGAACAAACCCCCACGTCTTCATGGAACTGGAGAGGGGGGGGAGGGATGAGGACGGGGTACGCAAGCAGGAGGGTGGGGAGGCATCGAGGAAGAATACGGATTCACTTGCTTCGTACTCCTCTTTTGATGGGCCTTTATCGTCAGTACCGAGAGAAACGCGGTGATATGTTTCATGCGTATTTACGGATGATTCTGAACGATAAAATTATCGATTGATTGATTTGAGTTTGGCGGATGCTCGATTTGCTCGATTCAATTGACGTTTTATTGATTTTTCAGTTTTAGCGGGAATTTTTGGGTGTTGGGAGGGGGGGGGGGG